GAATCGTTAAATCTAATGTTTTAACACTGTTTGGTGCTATTTTTCTTAGATCGTTGTCAAACAAATATTCAAATGGAAGTATTTATCAAAGAACCATCTGAACATTCTCACGTACCTGATCCAAATCGACTTCATATCGTTCGACTTAAAAACAAATTAAAAGAACGTAGTGCTTCATCAGATGAAGGAGGCACTACCATATTATTCGATGTATTACATAAAGTACCATTGTCTGTAAGTGCTAATTTATCTACAAATGAAGCATTATTACAAACAATTCACCGTGAGCGACCTACTATTCAACTTGATCATAATGGCCGTTTACCACTTATCAGAGGCCGAAACGAACCGAACTTTTCTGGTTCGAGTTCGGTTCGGCCCGATTGAATTTTTCAAAACCGGTTCGGGCTCGGTTCGGTTCGATTGAGTTTTTAAAAAGTCACTTCGAATTCGGTTCGGTTCGATTCGATTCGTTTTTTAAAATATCGGTTCGAGTTCGGTTCGGATCGACTCGAACCGAACCGAACCACTAGACTTCGGATCGGGTCGGCAAAAATAGTTTAAAAAAGCTGTATATTAGTATTCTAATGGCAGATAATTGCTTATTTTAACTACCCTTTAACTAGTGACCCGTTTGAGAGAAGTGAAAGTACTTTTTTGAATATGTAAGGCGACTTTTAAAAACTGACAACTGCTACCGATCCAGACCGATCCAAGATTGCTCGGTTCGATTGAATTTTCAAAAAGTCTGTTCGGGTTCGGTTCGGTTCGATTGAGCTTTCAAAAAGTCGGTTCGGGTTCGATTCGGTTCGGTTCGACTCAGTTCGGTTCGTTTTCGGCCTCTGCCACTTATATTATTACGACAAACTGATCGTGGAGAAAATTTCATTTTCTATGAAGATGAGTCAATGGTTATATTTACTTGTGATAAAAATCTATTGGTTTATGGACGGTACTTTTATTGTATGTACGACTTTTTTCAATTTTTATAAATAACTCTTGCTTTTATAGATATGTCCAAAAAGTTATTATCAATTATTTACTGTCCATGGAATATATTCTTCTCAAATTATTCCACTTGTATATGTTTTACTTATTGGAAAGGATACAAATGATTA